GCAATGTAGTTATTTACCAATCAATTCTGCAGTTCTATAATGTGCCCCCTCTTCAAGTGTTTTTAATGTATTCTCCCTTCAGAAGTATTTTAAATACAAATAGTGACTATATAACAAATATACAGATATACCAAAATTTGATTTGTGCTACCTGTACAAATACTTTATAAACGACAGCAACCTTGCCAAAACAAACTGAGCGTCAAGTAATGAATGCGAATAATTGAATATGCAGAACAATTTACATTCTAGATTACCCGCAAGGTATATGAAGCATGTAGCTTGGTTTACTACTGCAAACTAGGTAATAAATGCACATTACCATTGATGGCCATATGGGTATATTTTCACAGCATACAAAAATATAAAATGACTGTAATCAGTTCACAAATAAAACCATAAATTACACGTCATTGTAAATGACATAGTCCCTGTCAACAAATTAATAATCCTCAATGTCCTGGGATTGAAAACGTTAACAACGAGGAGACGACTACAAAGTCATGCATGATCTGAAATAACAGCCCTAACTAGTGCTACAAATTGCACGTAATGTGAACTGTGTACTTCATTGTAGGCTTTTAAAGGGTAGGACCAACCCCAATCCAAACAGATAAAAATCTATTTATTTTTATTTGAAAGGTTCTCTGTATTCTGTTCTACGATTTTCTGCAATACTTCCACCTGTAATAATTAAAAACAAACAAAAGACAAATTAATCGGAGTATGTAGAATGTGATGCCAGATTGACTAATTTTGATTAACGCAATGCCATAAAAAGTGTTTGTATCTAGAAGCCTCAATGTCAAGAAAAAGCATGCAAGTTTTATCACTAATTTTATAGAAACACTATTTCAATAACAACATTTCTGCACTGCTTATGACACAAACAGACAAATCTGTAAGTATTAGATTACATAATGATATTTTAAAGAGTTTACTCGCACAAGAACAAAACAAAAATGATGTTTCTGAACATCAATGGAAAACGAATAGTGTTTTAAAGTTGCATTCACACTTTGCAAATGTGTAAATCATATAAAACAAGCTAAAATCATAAAATGTGTTAAAATGATCCAGTTTTAGTTAGAAGAAATATTAAAAGTAGACATCCTACTCTAACTTACTGACCATCTCATTTTGAGAGTAGTGGAGGTTCTTATCCCATAGACAAACACACCTACAATGTAACTGATCTTCAAGGAAAAACAACGTCTCCTAAATCAGTGAGTATCTTTGGTCTACAAATCAAACTTATTTTAGCAGAACCGCTTATTATATTCTGCAGTTAATTAATTAATAAATTACCCATCCACAATCTCTAAATTTGACGGTGTCAAGGGATAGTACCTCACAGATTTGCAAGTAGGAATGCAACTTAACTAATCGATAAAATAGTACTAACCTGATCCTGACCAATGGACGGCATGCAGCGTAACTGAAACACAGATACTTGGCCTTCACTATCACCTACCAAGATGCACTATTTAAATGAAATGATTAAATTATTAACACAAATACATATTAGTTTTTGTAGACATAGTAAAACATCAGGCCTATCTGATTGTCTTTAATTGACAGAGCTGATCAGTCAACTTTCGTTTTTTTTTTTTAATTTCCCGAGCTACGCATCAACGAGGTATTCTTTCACATTTGTTAGGTTTGAGACAAATACTGCAATTTTTATTTTATTTTGCCAAACAAAAAACAGTATTTTCAATGTTTAACTATTACTACATTTGTTTTATTAAAAGCGCATCGCCAATAGAAGCACCTATGAACCTTAAATTGTATTTGTTGTTGTATCATAATACTTATTTTGGCCTTCGAAACAGCTCTGTAATTTACATAAGCGCATACATTTATGCTACTAACAGAGCAAAAACGGTACTTGTATTTGCTTTATTTATAGGGCATATATACTAGATTATTAAAATATAACTGATTTTGACCTGTGTTACTTATGTAAGTGGTACTAAAAATAGCAAATATGGCATTCAGATTTCTCTACATGTATGTTATTAGGTGACCTTCATTAGATTTTTTTCATTTTATGAAAATATTTTCTGTTTTTTATATTTTTTTTTAGTATTTGTAGTCAAAACTACAATATTTGGTACGCAGGTGTTTTGTCGTGACTAATTTGAAATTGTCATTTATTAATAATTTCTCAAACAGATATAGCTCAGACACTATACAGGGCATCAACAGAAGCTATTTTTGATTGACAGGTCAATTGTCATTGCAAACAAATTGTCTTTTAATAGATCTTTCAAACAAGTAGCGCCCTCTAGTGACAAAGCACATCTTCAGTGATGTGAATGTAAGGTATATCGGTAGTCATCACTAGAAGGTGCAGCTCAGTGGAATGATGTATGTATGTTGTCAACACTAGAGGGCACAACACAGTGGAATGGTGTATGTACATGTATGTTGTCGACACTAGAGAA